TAGTTCAATAAAATTTTGAATGCGGGGTCAACAAAACCGATGACATTACCTTTCAACTGTGACCCATCTGGAAAGGGTTAATGTCTTGTATTTACTTATATTTTCAGTGAATATTTATGTAATGTTTCAGCATGCTGTTTGTATTTTAAAAGGAAGTTATTTTACATTACATTAACTAAACACCATATTTTCAGGTGGCAGAAGAGATATGGGTGTGTGCCAATCAGACGATCAGCAAATGGAGTGGAGATATTCTTTCCTATAAAGAACACCTACGAAAAAGGATTATATCAGAAATTCAGAAGCCTAAAGATTAAGAGTAACTTTCAGTTAGATGTGATATGTGTTGAAATTGGTCTATGTTTCTCTGGTTCTTTTTTTTTGTTCTGCTGTATTTTCTCTATGTGGTAGAAAGCCTAAAGTCTGTATTTCTGATTTCAATTAAAAGTAGAATAATGTAAAAAGTTTTGAACCAAATGAAATATTTACATAATTTAAATTATTAAAATTGCAACATTTAGATAATTGGTTTTTCAGTTTTCCTTAATTGTGTACAGTAGATAATATAGAGCAGAAGAAACATAATTAGCTTAAAAGGAAAAGTTTTATTAGGAATTTGCTATCATAGCTGTGCAGTCTTCAAGCTAGTTGTTGCATTTAAAGTCAGTTTATTTGATCTTACAAACAATGTAATTGATTAAATGTTATTTATGATACTATCGCATTGAAATTCATAAAATATATCCTCAATTGTGAAGTGTTTTTATACAGTGTTTATATTAACCTTCAGATCAGATTTATTCCATCTTGAAACATCATTCGGTACTTGTGTAATGATCTGGCTGTTTTGTGACAGCACCATGTGATAACAGATCTTATTAGTTTTACACAAACATAGTGAAGTTAAAGTAGAGTTGTTTAAGTGAAAACATGCATACGTTCATCTCTAAAACAGTGAGAACATTTAAAAATCACAAGTATGGAATAACTGTAAATTTTCAAACATTGAGTAACAGAAATTTCAGTTGTCACTGGATAATTTTTTTTTTAAATTTTGAGATAATAGACTTGTAAAACATTTTCAAAACTTGCTTGGATTTTTTTTTATATTAAGTTATATTTTTAATGCAGTATATAAAAAAGGCACCCCAATTATGTTGTTATTAAGAGTTGCAGATTTCATCTTTTACTTACTATGAAACATTTTACTGAAGTAAAACTAGTTTTAGAAAGAAGGATTGCTATTAAAGATTTGTATTTTTTTTCAGAATGTACAACTTCAAGCAGCTTTTATTTAGTATCAACCACTTGGTTCCATTGTGTAATAAAGAATGTTGGTTTTAAATGAATTGGTAACTGAAACAAACTGAGTGATTTCACTTTATTATAGTACTCAAGGGCAGTTCCCTGAACGGTATAGAATTATTACCAAATCAAATTTTTTGTAGAGTATTGTAGTTTCAGGATGTATCACAGCTGAGTTAATTTTTTCTTTGGGAATCACAGTTGAGATTTGAAATGTAGTTTTAGGAACTTTATCATTGAAATTTTGTGTTGTTAGATTTTTTTTACAAATTACAACTTGGTTAATCTATAGAAACTTTAGTTTAAAAACTGTATCTGTTGCTGCTGTAGATGAAACTATTCATTTCTGATTCAAGGTAATAATTAATCCTTGATCATGCTGGAAAAATGGAACTTCAGAATCATATATAATATACTTTGAAAGGAGGTTTAAAGGTAGTATGGTAGAAAATATTTAAAAAACATGCATTTTGGTGGAGAAACAGACCAATAAGAAGTTTTTTGTTATACAGACATCCAGCTTAATTTGGGCTCTTTAAAGTATTGGTTCCAAGTGAAAATTTCACATCATTTTTAAAGGATATTTAGGTTGAGCTATATTGTTAGCTCATTTCAAGAATAAAGTAAATTTGTTCTTCTATTGGTTGTTTATTTCTCTCTCTTTATGTATATGTATTTGTCCTGCGAGTTTTAACATTAACATTATACAAAAAAAAAAGAAAAGATTATGACCCTATGGAAATTCCAAGTGAAATTTGAGTTTTTGTACATAAAGAGAAATAACCTAAGTACCTTGATTTACCTTAATTGTTGAACATTATTTTGACATGTATGTAAATTTGTTTCTGGTGATTCAAAAACAATCTATATAACAAGAGTAGTTTTTTTTTTATATGAGGAGAAAACACCTGTTTAAAATGTTGTGTGTGTTAGAGTTTGTGAGAACTTTGTGCGCGTATGAAATATTCCCTTTGAATTATTCTTTAGCATTTTCCATTGCTGGTCATTAATGAGTTCAAAATTTTTTTCAAATGCTCTACTTAAGTAAATTTATGGATCTGTCTTACTTATCTGAGTATTTTGGAAATTCCCTGGGGTCCTATAGGTTATGATTCATATTAAACATACATATATACACACACACACACACACAAACACACACACACACACACACAAATATCATGAACCATTATTACTCTTGCTTGGATTTCAGTTTTTATAGAAGTGGTATGATAGTAATATAAAAAAAATTGCGGTGAAGATATTAATGGTTTAACAAATTTCTATGCAGTTTTGATTTGAAAGAAAGCCATCTTTAGTCAGAAATCTGCTGTCAATGATAAATCATTTTATTAACTGATAGAAAACAGGGATAAATGATGCATGAAGTGAATTATCTGCTTTCAATACAAAAGGAAAAATACCCCCTTATTCAGAAAAAATGGGGGACGGGGATTTGGACAGATGTTTTGCTGCTGTTAGTTTCTGCCTCTTATTTTAAACGGAGCATTGCATGCTTCAACTTTCATTTAATAAAAACGTACTTATGTGTCAGGGATTTTAAAAAAATAACACTGTTGCAAAATATGAAATGCACACACACACACACATATTTGTGCCAGTGTTATAATTATCAAAGGGTTATGTTATTGATGCCCAAGAATGTATATTGTGTTGAGGCCTAACACAAGCTCTTTACTCTGGTCACACTAACACTATTTTTGAATGCTAAACCTTTTATTACTTTAATCTTGGGAGTTTTATATATTTCAATGAACCACTAGATATCATTATTGCTATTAATAGGTCTGAGGTGGCAATAACACCTCATTTTCTCAATGATGGTTACTCTAACATAGATTTATGAGATTGTTAAAATATAAATATTCATCCATGATATAGATAATATTTAATGTATAAGTTGTATAATATTTTATACATGCTGACCTTTAAATGTATCACAAACTAAGGATTAAGAAGGCAGAAACTTGGTCTGTTTTGCCTTTCTAAGTTGAAGGATAGTTTTATCTAAATTACAGTGATTGCTACTATTAGAAGAACTCTAGTGAGTTTATTGGTTGAAGGAGTCTTTGCCAAACAAACATCTTGGTGTATAATAGCAGTAGAAGCATAATATTAAATCATCTTATTCACATTAGGTGATTGTTGTTAAAAATATAATTATAAATAAATGAATTAGATACACCTGGCTAATGAACTGGTAAGTACCAAGTGTTTCCATGTGATCAGTGGTTTGGAAGTAGAATGACACCACACCAACTGGACTGCATACTGACAGCGTGCTGGGACATGATTATTATTGGAGGAAGATTGACTGATGCTAAACTTGTCTAGCATGTTAATAATCTCCATTGAACTTAATCATGTGGTATTTTCAGGTAAATCTGATTTCCCTAAAGAGTGAATCAGGTACGTCCGATATTATAATGGGAGGTTTGGCAAGATATATTACTAAGCATTTCTGAATTTCTCTGAACTAACTGAGCTTGTGCAAGGAAATAGACTGGACATTAGCACGTAAGATGCAATGAAGCAATCTTTATTATTAGGTAAACCACAGTCAACTACTGGAGAGGCAGGTTGACCAGACTGGTGTCACTCCCTCAAGATGTATTCCATGCTGACTGACTCACTTGAAATCTTGCTCCAGACTAACTAAACCTCATATTACTTAATTGACTTTGCTACTTAAAGCTTACCCAGAGGAACCAGTGCTATTCATGTGACTGGTGATTCTCATTAGAAGAAATGAGGAAGGCTGTAACTTTGAAATATTACCTGACCAGTGCTTGGAAAAAATAGCTCACTACACCCATACATAAAATGCAAATTTACATCTAAATACCTTGTCCAAATTCAGACCAGATGTTGTTTCATAGTGTGGTATTCTCCATTACACAGCTTTCCCGCAGATTAGACAGCCAGGGCCTGCTAAATGGAGGTTTGAAGGATACTGAACTGGTCATATCTCCCATCTCTGACTGGGTTGATCAAGAAGAAACAGTTGATTTCAGAAGGTGAACAAGAACAGTGTTTATTTGTAATCAGACAAAAACATTTAGAAGGAATATAAGGACAAATGTCTTAAGGTGGGTGTGGAACTGATAAGATGTATGGTGAAATCTTTAATAAATTCTCTTGCCAATTCAATGTGTTCTCTCTTGTAAGTTAAACTTAAAACAACCTTTAATAAAAATAACACCTAGTGAATATAAACTAAAATCCAAAGTTACAGGTAAAAATTTTATGTTAAATCAAGCTATGTCAAAATCACAAGAGTGATAACTAAATATCTAAAAGTTCAGTTTAACCAAGTAGGTTTTGCTAAAGTTAAAGCATCAACACTACACATACCTAAGATAAATAAAAACATTCTGTGTCTACATGCCACACTCTTCAAAATGGCCTAAAAGTTATGAGGGATAACAAGTACCATTTAACATACTATTAGACATTGATTTAATTACACTTTTATTTATTATTAAGTTATAAGGACGTGTTTAGTTTAAGTACGTCACGCTTTAAAAAATCTTTATGGGTTTAGTACAAGTTTTCTTGTTTTGCTCAAGTACAGAGTTTGTGTTGTGTTTCCTACATAGTATTTCTATGTGTTCATTTATAGAATGAAAGATTGCTTTTATCTCAAAGACCATCCATTCATTGTCCTACAAAATCTCATTTGCAAGATTTCATAGAAAGCTTGCCCATTAGATTGAACTACTATTGTCATAATAATTAGGTGGATATTTCAGTTGAAGAGAAATACAAGTCAGTACTATTTGATTTGCAGCTGATTCATGGGAAGGCTTTGAAGCAGGTCAGAACACCTTGGCAGTAGTTTTATACTTGGAAGATGTCTACTGTAGAGTTCACTTGCCCATTCATGCTGACAAAATACTCAAAATAGGAATCGGTGAACATATGTAAGATGGACTGTACCCACACTAATTACCAGAAGATTCATCTGAATAATGGAAGCACTCAACTTGGATCACTATCAACACTGGTCTGCTTCAAAGATCATCACTCTTGTCAGGCTACTTCAACATCTATATCTTGGATATACATCATCTTAAAAGTCCAACCATATTCTCTGTGCTAACCTTTTCTAGCCACATTCTGGTGCACGGTAGAGGCTCTGGCAAGCTGAAATTGAAAGCAAGATGCAAACGTCCCTTAGCAGAGTGATCAAGTGGTACAATGACATGAGAATGTACATCATTCCTGCCAAAGACATGTTAATACTCACGATCAACAAATGGCAGGCTGATGAGGACAAACATCACCATCGTTTGGAGGTATTTTTGTTCTTTTGGAAAAAAAAACAAGTATTTTAAGATAATGTTCGACAGAACTGAACTTCACCAGAACTATCAGAAGCATCATACACTGACAGTTGCAGCTGGAAACAGAGCTGAAGAACATCACCTACTTATGTTCTACTAAAGTTTTATATGCTCAGTCCGGGATTATACACTACCAGTAATTAGTATGAGTGCTACACAGCTAGATAAGTTTGAAAATATATAAAAACTAAGTTTGATCATAAGATGTAATTCAGCTCAATCAAAATTCTTTGCAAGTGCCTCAAAGTAAAAAGACCATACCTGCTATTATGGAGCCATTGATTCTTTTATTTGAGACTTTCTAGCTTCACAGACGCCAGCCAAGTATGGAATTACTAAAAATACACCTCGGGATGAATAGGTTCTATACAGCCTAGACAAAAAATGTAGATACTGGACAAAGGTGTGAATTATAAAAGGTTCGTCAGCACCTTTTTAAATACCATAATGGATAATCATCATAGCAACAGATGGTTCATGCATCAGAGATAGTAAAAGAGCTAGCTGAGCATTCAACTGACCCACAGGTGGAGCTGAAATCCGTAAAGCAGGTTCTCCTCTGGATTGCTGAAAGCAACAAACCACAAATAAATAGTGACACACACACATAATATTTGCGATTTGCTCACAGGCACTAAAGCATGAAGTTCAGAATGGTTGGTCTCCTGATGGATGACAAAGTAAAGCAACACCTGGAACTATTTTCCAGGTCATGCAGGGGAAAAGCTAAACGAAGAAGCTTGCTCAAGAAAACCCCTTTTCGAAGCTCAGCACATCCTGCGAGACGATCGGTCTTCACAATCTTGTGTTCATCTTAACGAGCACTATATGTTATCTGATTAATATATTTTACATTTGTGATGAGGTAATTGCCAGATACATTGGTTCAAAAAGTTTCATAATTTTTGCTCCTAGTGTCTTGATAAACCTTATTACACACACGTTATTCATTTCGCAACGTTATGTTAGTATTGCTCTCTTTCTAGAGTTAATAAAGTTATCAAAATATAATTAAAACTACTTAACTAACAAACGGATATAGAATAATAAAGTATCTAGTTTGGCGTATATCTGTATTATTTTTATTTTATCAAAAGAGTTTATTATGTTTGATAAACCTGCCAATAAATATGAGTATTTAGGAAAGCGTCTCCTTTTTTCCATTACCAGCGACTAAAATTCCCAATTTATCTATAAGGAAAATGTATGAAGAGTTTAAAAATTAATAAAGGTATTTTATAACGTAGGCATTGGCTAAAAGTTTTTAATAAGCTGTTAAACAAACGTGAAATAATAGCATTTTGACAACTCCCACAATCTAAAATTGACGAGATGATTCTCACGATGCCCCAAAGGATCAACAAACTCCACGAAGCGAAAGGAAGATCTACTAGATATTAATTAAATTATAAATATATCAATTCATGTGAATATGACTGAAAAATTTCATTTTTTCTGAAAATGTGGTGTCTATTTACTTGTGACCACGCTGTGTACGTTTCAAGTATAAAAAACATACACATATAAATACTTTTCCGCCCACTCTTGCTTCAAAACTTGGAGTAGATCGCTCTTCGAAGTTAGTTTTTTTGGCTGTTTCTTGACTTGCCGGTCGAGTATGGCCCAGAGGTTTTCGATGGGCTTCATGTCAAGAGATTGGCTTGGCCAGGGCAACTTCTGCATACCATTTTCTTCCTGCCACTTTTGGGTGTTTCTAGCAATGTGACACGGTGCTCCATCTTCCTGGACAACGTTCGTTGTGTTCTTTTCTACGAAACTCGAGGAATAAAGTGGCAAGTGTCCTTCCTCCAATATTTCGATGTATTTC